AATATGTAATGATATTACATTGTTTATCTTGATTAAATCTTATTATTGTTAACTCCGCCTACAACTGTTGATTGACCTCACACTACACGTGCTTCAGTGACTCTATCTTTAACATTTCTCTAGATGTTCTGTAGTTACTTGCACACTGTTATGTATTAAACATAATTAATGTTTACTTAGATAAAGATTATAAAACAAAAATAATATACATTTCTATGTATTAAAAGGAATGCGAAACTGAGTATCTCTTTTTGTCTAGTACCTATTTTTAAATCTTACAGGGGACCAAGTGACCGTAAAAGTCACATGCGTATCATCACCTCTTCAAACAATGCAATTTGCAAAAATAAAGAATAAATTGATATACGTAATCATACGAAAAGTCTATATTACGTTATGTACATTGGATAAATGTTGATTGTTTAAGCTGCACATTACAAAAGACAGATTAATGAAGACAATGTTATTCAGAAATTTTGTTTCACAACAATTAATTTTACAGCTAAAATTGGTTGAAATTGGTTCTTTAGATTTTAAAAAGACGCTAAAAAAGTCAGAAAATTTATATCGTGACATACTGCTCGAGAATATACGATATATACAATAGATGCATGCAGCTTAAGGTAAGTAGGATGATTCATGTGAACTTCAACTGCTTAAATCTTAAATCTACATGAATGTCAAGGGCCAAATCAATAATTAAATGAAACAAACTTACAAAAGAACAAGGGGCCTTCTATGTCACCTGATCATCATGCAATAACGTTCTTACCATTGAATCTTGTTCGTGTTTTAAAATATTAGTTATTACATTCACAATTTTGAAAGCTCATCATGATATTACACGTATCATGTTTAGTTTTTTATTCCGCAATAATCAGAAGTGACCCAACTCCTCAGGATTTCCTGACTCTGGGGCCACAAATTTCATAATTTTTTGAACTATGTAGGAAAAGGCACACTCGCTCATCATAAATATTTGATTAATACCAGGGGTAAATTTCAAAGCATTAATATATTTTCAGTAATAATTAGAGCCCCACCGAACCTTTTTTTTACTCCATGACCAAGGGGCCTTGCAATCTACAATTCTGCAAGAAAGACCAATGGTCTTCATAGATGTACATGTATAGGTAGTTCATCTGCTTAATACCCAGTAACAGACTTCAAAGCTTGCATTAATTTCAGCGTCTTTTTTTTGCCATATCCCCTAGACCCTACGGGGACAGGTACCATGAAATTTGAAATATTTGTTCCCCTTTGCCAATAGGTGCTTTATGCCTAAATTGGTTAAAATTGGTTAAGCGGGTACAGATATGAATCTAAAAATGTTCAATGTTAAAACAAGCCGCATGACGAACGACAACAGACGAAAACGGGTAACAGTATGTCACCTGACTTTACCCATGTGACCTAATCATAAACGAAAAATCATATTGGTACTAGATAAATACCAATGCATTGTTTCATATTGGTGCGATTTCTTCTTCTGCATACATATCCAATTGTCAGTAGAATTCCCAAAACAAAGATAACGATAGGAGCTATCACCCACAACAATGTTTCAGATCCATCTGACTCAACCATTTGGTGTGTTTTTGTATGGTTTAGAATGTCTGTTGAGTTGTAGATCCCGATTGGTAGTTCCGTATTTGGTGTACTATCATAAAAACCCAATAATTTAGACAAAAGACACATATCAAAATTATTTTACCAGAAGACTAAGTCTTGATCAATATTTTGGCATTTTATGTGCAAATTGTAGATTTAACTACATCGTAACTCAATATATTCGTTCATTTAAACACGTTAAAAATGAATAAGATTGAATATGGCAATTAAACTCGCACATTAACAATCCGGGGGATGATCTTTGAACATTTTTATTTCTACACCGTAAGAGACCTGATACACAAAATACGAGGGCCGTTCAAAAATAACGCGGACTTGTTGCATAGAAAAAATATTTGACGACATAATCGGGCAAAATATCACACATAATATAAAAGAATCTTTACTTATATGGTCTTAAATTTCATATCAAAATGTTGTAAATTGGTATCAATTTTGAGTGATTTTGAGTGATTTATTAGGACATGTCATTAAGTCAAGGAGCAGCAAAATCTTCAACGTCACAGGAAAAAAAATATGTAATTGAGATTTCATATTCTCAGCTTTTTCCTAAGAGGACATGTACAGATTGAGTTAACGTATCTACTCAACATCTAAACACCATTTCTTGTCAAGCTTAAAATCTATCAAACAGGTAAAGAATATTCTTTTTTTGTTTTAAAACCAAAAACTGCAGGTATTTATGAGATATAGTATTATATTGTTGACTCTCAATCACCTTCTCTACAGTCCGGAAAAAAGTTTTCGTAGATAATCGTTCCTCTCGTCCTCTCGTATAGCCTTTATACAGAGGTCTAACGGTCTAAAATTTCAATTTGCTATATGTGGACGAATGCCACGAATACCCTAGTTTTATACATGTTTTATTATGCATATTTTGGATTTATGTTGGCGATATTTCGAGCATAACATATAATTATGAAAAGTGTGGTGCGCCGTCAGTTTAGGAGATGTCATTTTCACAGTCGTTTTCATGGGAATCGCATCGGAGATAAACCACTATATTTCTGTTAGTGCTTCAGATATCATGTCAGAAATCTAAATACATAATAATAGAACATTTAAAAGATACATTTGAGAAAATTATCGAAAAATATCGCGAATTATAGAAAATGAATGAGTTAAATTTTGGCTTCCGCATGCTTTTCCTTCAGATTTTTTGTCTGCTCCGTACCGCTCCATCAGCGATATCAACATACCGATAATTTAAGTACAATTTTTCAAAATGCAGAAATTTTCCCAAGATTCATTGGAATCTTTAAAATACATATTTCAGTGAAATTTCATAACTATATGTTGTCTGTAAGAGTAAATTAATACATGTAGCAGAGACCGCGCAATTTTGAACGGCCCCCGTATATAAATTTTGTAAAAATTTAAATGTACATTGAAACACTTATGATTTGTAGAACATGTTTCATTGACTAAAATAAAGAGATATATATTTGGTACACCAAAATTCTGCCTACACGTACGTCATGTAAATAAATAAAATTAATGAATGGCTATGGAAACATAAACGGACGAAGTATGTTTTAACAAGCCAAACATAAAATCCATTGTTATACCTTTACAAATTAGTTTCTATACAAATCTATACGGAAAAAAGTCTAACATTTTTAATGTTTTGCTGAGCGGGCATAAAAAAATCGATGTTGGACCGCTGAGTGAGATGTTGGACCGCTCGGAGAGATGTTGGACCGCTTACGTCACAGAATGGGTGGAGCTTAATCTCATTTTCATTCGTTGATTTTGAACAGTGACAGATCTAATGTAACATTACGGAATATAGTACAAAATAAATGTATGTCAAAAAATAAAATAAAATGAAAGGTATAACAAAACATTTATTGACAGAGTTCTCGGGCAAAATGCGTTTTGTCGGACCTTCGAACCAAACTGTCTGCCTTCGGCCTAACGGCCTCAGGCAGACAGTTTGGTTCTTGGGTCCGACAAAACGCATGTTGCCCTCGAACTCAGTCAATAAATGTATAATATGGAATTGCTGATAACAGTACCTTTTTTATTCTTTCTCCACAACCAAACAAACTTTTCTTAAAATATGTTTTCAAAGGGGATTTTTAAAACACTTTTCCAATGTTGTCATGTGGACAAAAAAGTGACTTTTCATTATGCTAAGCTTACAATACTCCAACATCATTATCGATGTTATTACATGATAGACAATAAAATGACCTGCTATATATATTCACGAGGCAAAGTGTACTTCTATAAGCTACATGATTGTACCGTGACTGACATCAACTAGAAGTTATTGGTGAAAGAAAAGATATTAATTTTTTTTACTGACGTCAACCACTGACACATGTATTCAAGCTGCAATTCTCCACCTTTATATTGTGTTCGTTTCTCTATCACCATCTGTTTTATACTTGAACATTTCACTTGAAAGAGACATTAGTGGTACTCTAACAACCAAGCTCTATGACAAACGTGATGACTTCATCTTTTCTATCGTCAACTTTCCTTATTTAGCAATATACCTTCATCAGATCACCTGCGTAGGATTTTGTTGTATCACAGTTGATTAGATACGCAAGCTCTATGTATGAACAATTCCTAAAACTGACGTTTTCCATACTAATTGTTCGTCTATTATTTATACCATTGAATTGACGACAGCTTTTCCGTTATATCCTGAACATGACAAGGAGCACACGGCGGTGGTGACCGGTCAGCAGGGGATGCTCACTCTTCTATGCACCTGATCCCACTTCTGATGTTTTGAAGGTCCGTGTTTCTTGTGCTCCTCTTTTGTAGCTTTTTGTGGACTTTTATTTTAAATACTGTCCGTTATCACCATATGTTTCACACAATTTACGTTATTGCGTGATAGTTCAATAAAGTCAGAACATTTTAACCTTATGCGACGGGTAATTGCTGAGAAAAATGTGGCGGGAATTCGTCACAGACACTCGAATAAAAAGGATGTTGCCATTGGTCTTGTACATATAGAAATCCCACCATATACATGTAGTATGCAAAACAAGAATGCTTTCAAGCCTTGAGTAAATATGATGAGAAAGTGCAAAAAAACTGTGAAGAAAATTTGTTGCGGACTAACAAACACACAGAAACAAAAGGAAAAACAATATACTGCCCTTTACTTTGCAGCGAGAAAAAAAAATATTCTGAAATAAATATCATATATGGCTGTATATGTAGAAACGGAAAGAAATTCGCTTAACATTGTCCTTAATTTTAAATGAAAAATATACCAGGTAAAAAAACAATGTATTATTCAAATGTTCGTCATGAAAAACAGTGATCAAGCATTCTATATTTGTCAAATTTCAAGGAAAATATCTTACTTTTCTACTTCATTTAATACATGGTACAAAATGTTTATGAATAAACTCACGGACGTGGGCAAGATGGTTCTGCAAAGTAACAGTTGAATTCTGTATTGATTTCCTGACAAGCACGGTCTACGTTAAAAAAAGAAATAGAAAATGCATTTGAACACATATATAATTGTCGTATATTTCTTGATTAAAAAAAGTTTCCTATAACTGTTCACAGTGAAAAAGTAGACTTACATTTGTATATATCTTTACTGTTGAACGCAGTTTCTGGACATCCACTATTAAATTCAGAGCAATCCTTTCGAAATACTTTGCCCTCGTTTGTTTCCAAGCAATTTCCTTCAGAACAATGACAAAAATAAATTAATGAATACAATTTAGGAGCTCCTACTAGATATTTTGAATAAAAGAATGAACATTTAACATTATTTTCACGTACATTGTACGTTTTGTAAAGTCTTATTTAAAGATCATTCCGGTTATTCTCACTTACATATTGAATATCACAATATTTTTGTCAATAGAGATAATACAGTTGAATTTCGATATCTCGAACTCCGATATTTCGAATACCCCGGTACTGTGTAAATGTCGAAGTGATTTGGAAGTCTCAACCACATATTCTTTAAGAAGTTTACCTTCGATATCACGAATCCTCAGATATCTTGAAGTTTTTTCTCAGTCACATCAGGTTAGAGATAACAATATATCAATTTGTAGGCCTTTCAACTGCCGCTAGGGTTCGCTGTTATGAACGATAACTCACTGCTGAAACTTGTTTAGAGCAGGCCCTAGGTACAGTGTATCTAACTGTTCACAAGCAAGTCAGTTTTTAGCATTTTTAGCATTTCCCAAGTGTTTCTTTGCTGTCAGAAGAAGGCAGTGGTTTTAAAATTTAGCACCAATGTTAAACTTATTTACTGTATAGTTTCGGACACCGTTTTACTACATATCATTAATTTTTTTTATTAAAACAAAAAGAGTGAAATCTACCCTCCTTTTTAGTTCTAACCTGATTAAACCTGATTACTCAGTCGTTCCCCTTCGTGCTTACATGTAGTAACACTAATAAGACGATCAATTGTTGCATTTACTTGTAAAAGTATATATATATATTAGTAGTTTCGTAGTAGTGCTAGTTGTTTTTGTTTCTCTTTTTCCTTTGTTTTTATGACTTTTTAACTTTTTTCTTTGTCCTGAGGAAGGGACAGGTCGTCCCGAAAATTTGACAATTTTTATTGTTCGTGTCGTTGGTCATTTTAGTGCTTTATATAAATTTCCATCCGTGACCTTGTATCTACTTGGTAGATCCGACATTTAGGATATACAGTGTTGTTGGTTTTTTAGTGCTTTTTATATATATATATATATATATATATATATATATATATATATATATATATATATATATATATATATATATATATATATATATATATATATATATATATATATATATAGCGAAAAAGCGCGAACATAAAAAAACGACATTATATTTTCTGTTTCATAACTATTGTCAAAGAGAGTTAAAAATATTCAAAATAGTCTGCTCCACATTCATTTGACCTTGTTATTTCAGGTAGAGTGAAGACATTCTCCTTCTTTTGGTCAACACTTTTGTGTACAAAACATTGTAAGGAACCCTTTTGTGTACATAAAAATACAAATGCTGAAGCAGACTATATGTCATTCCTAGAAACGATAACTCATAAAACGGCACTTAGTTGGTCATTTTTCACACCTGAAATACTTGTTCTTAAAACACAACATCGTAAAAGTCAATTATGAATTATTATTTTTTTTTAATGATTTAATTAAAAGTATGCATACGTCATTATCTTTTTTGATATTTTCATGTACATATAAATCTATATATGCACTGTTTTTTTCCATATGTGCATCTTGAAAAATTAGTTGAAAGGCCTATGATTTGTAATAATCAAACCATTTTTTTTTTAAATTGCAAATACAAAGAATTTAAATCACCTTTTACGATCATCCCCATGATTCCATTATGACATAATTCTACAAGGGCTGTCTTCCTGATGTTAGGTAAACAAAGGTACTGGTTATTCCCATACTTGTCCCGACTACAGCCCAATCTCAAAGACGCTATATGGACTTCTCTAAGGTTTCTGGGACACAGAAAATCAGACATATCTGTAAAAAAAAAAAGAATTACTTTTTATTTAATATAAATTCGAATATTCACTATAACCTCATATTAGAATATTCAATAATGTAACTTTGAAGTGATTTTGTGATAAGCGATATGTTTATTTTTAAAAATACAGAAAAAAATATTCAGTTCGTACTGCACATCGACGTGGTATGTCTATTACCTTCCTCATAATTTAGTGCAATCCAGGTTTTTAATTGTGTATCTAGTATATAGAATTGAATTCATTCATATTCAATCCTTGCGTTTTTCATACTTGTGATTCAATGTAGAAAAATGATGAAGAATAAAATGCCAAACATAATACGCAGAGGCCACCTTGGGGAAGTGTTTATGGTCAATTATGAAGAGTTCCATTATGATATCATTCAAAACTATCCAAATGATACACGAATAAAACAACTTTATTCCATATAGTAAAGACAACGCGTGTTACTTACAATGTAAAATAGGACCTGAAATATAAGTAGTATGGAATTGTTATATCTAGATATAGCGACGGTTGATCGCAGTCGAGATCAGTCTTTGCCCGTAGGCAGGTTATACATGTAGTTTCTGTTCATGAACTCTCAATTTCACTTGTATTGTCATTAAATGCCCGCAATGTATTTGGTTTTTATGCCCCGGAAACAAAGTTTCGGGGTTATATAGTTTTTTGTCTGTCTGTCTGTTTAGCTCTCCGCGAAAATTTAACCTTGCCCATAACTTTTGATTTAGCGGAGCTATGACTTTATATTTCACTTGTGTACTCCTTGTGACAAGACCTTTCTTTGGATACCCCCAAATGTAACCTTTTGACCTTGACCTTGGAGTTTGACGCACTTTAAAACAAAAATTTTGAACTTTTACTTTGGCCATATCTTTTGAACAGTAGATACATGGACATTTATACTTGACATATGTATTTTTTGTAGAAAGACCTTTCATTGGATACCATCAATCTTGACCTTTTGACCTCGACCTTGCAGATTTCTGTACTTATGAAAAAACTTTTAAACGGTAAGAGCCAAGGCTTTCGTACTTCACATATGTAATTAATGAGAAGACACTTTATTGGATACCAAGAACCTTGACCCTTTGACTTTGGCCTAAGCGTTTGACTTACTGGTATTTTTTTAAGAATACAACATTGACCATAATTTTTGAAGAGTTGGGACTAGGGCCTTCATACTTCAAAATATTTCCTTATGAGAAGATATTTCATTGGATGTCAACATCTTTAAACCTTTGACATTGACCTTGGAGTTTGACCTACTTTTGTAAACTTTAACCTTGGCCATAACTTTTGAAGAGTAGGCGCTAGAGCTTTCATATTTCATATATTTTATTCTTGTGACAAGACCTTTCATTGAATATCAAGAACCTTGACCCTTTGACATTGACCTTGGAGTTTTATGTAGTTTTTACAAACTTTACCCTTAGTCATAACCTTTAAACGGTAATGGACAGCGTTTTCATACTTCCCATATGTAATCTTTGAGACATTATTTTTGCCTTTCTTTAGAAATCAACAACCTTGACCCTTTGACCTTGATCTCGGAGTTTGTCCTACCTTTCAAAATGTTAACCTTGGTCAGAACCCTTGAACAGGTGGTCCTAGGGTTTTATATTTCATATTTGTATTTCTCGTGAAAAGGGCTTACTTTAGGTACCAACATATTTGATCTGCATTTGAAAGCTTAACTTTCGCTATGTTGCCATACGGGGGCATCAGTTGTTCAAATAGGACTTAGGTTTATCAATAGTAAATAACCTCTTTTCATGATTTTCTCCAAAAATCAGAACACACAAGACATCTTCATTTTTTTGGTGCTTTTGGAGTATTTATGTCATTTGAATGAAATGAATTTTTTCACACTAAGAACAGACGCAACAATTTTATTTCGCTTATTTCTTTAATAATCTATGAAATATGGATCATGCTTTACATAGCAGATCACTAAAGCACCTGAAAAATGCATGTACAGTTTTTTCAATTTTCCGATTCCCAAAATTATATTTTCTGATTATATTGATTTAATATCTGTAGATAATAAAATGGATAGCATTTTTTAAACTATGGCAAATCATTTTCTTTCTGTGATCTATAGTTTGTAAAAGATGTACATATTATAGTCTTTTTTACTCTGTACAATACACTGCTTTGAAAAGTTAAAAAAAAATCCAGAAATGAAATTCTACTGGTAGCTTAATGTAGTGGATCTGCCGTTTATTGCACATAAATATCCAGAACCAGAACAAATTCATTTGGATCTTATCCAAGCAGGACTAGAAAAACAAGTATGGATATTTTTTTTTTTACAAAATAGTGGGTTAGAGGTATCCCTTTCAATTGTAGAAACATATCTAATGTAGGTGTATAAAAAGATTCATCTCAAATCATTCTAGTGTCTCGATTCTGGTGTTATCATACTTTGTTGTATAATATTTTTTTTGCATTATATTGCCCAAGCAGTTCAACATGAGGAAAGACATTTTAGCAAAAACACAGAGAAAAGATTAATTTTAATTTTGACAAATACATTTTATAACTACAAGTTTTTGTAATATTTTCAAGAACGACTCATGTCAATAAAAAAAATAAACTTAATACGCATTTGAAGGATTAGGTTTCATTTATTTCACTGATAGATATCTACGTAAGTAAGATCAATGTACAATCCGTGATCAATTGCACTTGATTTAACAATTTGTATGCAAATTAGAAAGAAATAAGGAGGATTCAAAGGTTTAAATGAAAAATAAAACAATTTCGTGATTCATTATTTGGCTTGGGTTTTCTTCTGGTCTGGGGGGTGTGAAAAAAACAAATTGCACTGAAATGCTTAACATAGAAAATCTTTTGAATGAAATAGTTTCTTCTTATTTTGAGATTCGCTGACATCTTGAAATATCCATTGTCTTTTGAATTTTCATGAAGTTGTCACTTTGTTGTTGCATTATCATATATGCTGCATCATGAAAAGGAGTAAGGGCATAAAAAATAAACTAAAATTTAATTACCTAGACTTAGAGGTGTAATTATATCAACATTTTATAATTATATACAGTCATGTACTTTTGCAGGATATTTTTCTACAATGTAGTAAAATACTCCAGCATACAAGAGGTGCACGGCGAGATACTTTTCACTTGGTACCGCCTAACCTCTAGTATTCATTGCAAAAATTCTCGCCGTTGAAACCCCAAGTGGAAATAAATTATTTTATTAAAAAATAAGGCTTTGTATATTAACAAAAAGCACGAAACAATGAAATACTCACTATTTATGATAAAACTTTAACATAAAACACTGTTGATCTCTCGTTTTAACAATAAATTTATTATTTTTAAAATCGAAGCAGAAATTAAAACAAGTCGTCTGTTGAAAATTCGGGAATAGAATGTAGAAAATCTTACGAAACGAAACTAGTTAAACGCAACGAAATTTTGTTTTCTGACTAGCATTTCGCAAAATAAAGGTGAAGTAAAATCGAATTCAAAGTACTTCTGGTGACAAATTGGAATAATGACAATTTTCATTCATTAAAAAAAATGTACCCTTAATAAAATGGATTTTATGATTTCTTGTGAATTTTATACCCCATAAAAATTACTTGTTAACAGTTTGTTTCACGCATAATATGTTAAGCCCAAAATCTCAGGTGGAGCGAGCTCGTTAGAAAATGGCCTTAGGATGTAAGAGTCCGAGGTATATACAGCTCAACGCACTTTTTAAGCTCACATGGTTTTAAGCACAAATTAAGGTCACATTTTTCTTGCAATAAAACTTAAAATTATCGAGCTTCTGTACAGATATTGACGTTATATTATTAAATTTTTCATGTTAAAGGTGCATATTTTCTAAAATCATTATATTAAGTTTTAAACTTCGATGTCTTAAAAGGGAATTTGATTATAAACTGTATGATGTAACATGTTTAAGATTTTGTCATAGGTATTTACAAATTAATTAATCGAGCTTTCCTTGATACTATTTAGTTGAAATGTTCAAATTGACTTCTTTCAGATGAGTGTTTTTCTAAGTACTTTGCACATTTCCATACTTGTCTCGGTTTTGTCGAAATGCAGCGCCGAAAAATAACAAAACTGCATAGAGGAATCATGTCAAAGTATAAGATAATAAAGTATTGTTGAATTTCCACACATTAAATTATTACTATTGAAAAGAAAATTCTTTTATTTCTATGGTCTGAAACTTTGACATTTTGTTTTGGAAGGTATCTTTCATGCATGACGCTAGATTTCAGAAAGTTGACCTAAAAAATCCATCTTTTTAACAAGAAAAACAGTCAAACAGATTAAAAACACTTCCATCATCTTGCGCCTTTGTGCCATATCAATGTACAAAGAATACAGAAATTACATGAAGTTTACTGTTTCTGTATTTAGGCAAGGCAAAGGTATGCTTGAAACTGAACGGATAAAAAGCCGGTTGCAATTGACAAGAAGTCATGAAAAAACGAATTGGGAACTGCCATGATCTATAATCAAAGAGCATATAAAAATCCAACCAATTATTAGGTGTTGGATTACATGTATGTTTAAAGTAATGAAATAAGATCAAAATTAAGTTAAAAATCACTTTTAAAATATATTTTGTTCTCACGTTACAAATTTTGCATTATAACAATGTGACTGTAATTTGTGCGAAAAACATCCGAGTTTAAAAAGTTTGTTGAGCTGTAAGGAGCGTATGGACGTTAACAGATGCGCTTACTTGTAGAAGTATGTAGTAAACCAACTGTGAAATTGATGCTTAGCATCTTTGTATATACACAGATAAAGAAATTAATGCGTTATATCCTTGTGTAGTAACGCCAAAATGAAACTTCGGAGAGGACAGCGAGATCTTCAAAAATCTAGTATTGAGTATGTTTTCGTCGTCTTGAAACTTGTAAAATCTTAATATAAGGAATGCCTTCAAATCTAATTATCGGTGCGAAAATTACACCGACTTGCACGAAGCCTTTTTCTTGTCATGCAGCGCTGCGCGCTAGCACGTTTCCTTAAATGTGCCTACGAGACAGATCTGTGTAATTTACAAACCAAAAACTCAAATTTTTAAAGATTCCATAAATGGCCGCATATATTAATGACATATTTAAATAGATATATATTTAACGTACTTTGTTTTTCTCAATTATGGATATTATAGCAGTTAAATCTTAAACATTTGAAATTATTTATGCAAAACATTCTTTATCATTAGGAAATGAACCATTCCAACCATGCTTAGGGCGAATTACATTGTAAAGTAATGTGCATTACATTATCATTACTTCAATAATTTGGGCATTAAATTACCATTACCATTACTCTATTTTGTTAAAGTAATGCATTACATTACTTAAAGTAAAGTAATGCATTACCATTACCATTACTTTTGGAGGTTTTTAAAGATAGAAATTTATTCAAAATTTTGCATTTATTTTTTCATAAGCATGTATCCACCCCTTCAAAACTAAGCATGATAAATGGTAATTCAGATTTGATTTCAAGTTTTTGTACATAGTGCACTGTCAATAACTTACATGAACAGAAAGTTCAAAATATCAAATTGTCAGTTATATAACACATGTACAACATACAAGATCGTCATAACCAATTCAAAAATTCGTTAAAACAAATTCTTGAATTGGTTAAAACGAATTCAACAAATCTGTAATAACAGATTTATAACGAATTCAATAAATCTGTAATAGCAAATTAAATTCGTTAAAACGAATTCAGTGAATCTGTTATAACAAATCAAATTCGTTATAACGAATTCAATTAATCTGTTTTAACAAATTAAATTCGTTATAACGAATTCAATGAATCTGTTATAATAAATTAACTTCGTTATAACGAATTCTAAAAATCGTTATAACGAATTCAAAAATATTTTTAATTTGATAGGTCCTAAATGGGCTTCCGTAGATCATGTAATGCATTTCAATGCATTACAATTAGTATTATCCCAAGCCTGATTCCAACGTATTGAAACGAAAGTAGATATTTTAAAGACGTATATATAAATTACTAACAATCTAAATTATTATCATTTTCACACTTCAAACTCAATTAATGCTTTCTAAATTTCTTACCCGGTATGGCCTTTTCAAGACAAAATAGCCAACAAGACAAAATAGCCAACCTTTTCATTCTTAAACATTAAGACGCCCAATCTATGTATCCTTGACCTTATGATTTAAATACCCCAGTTACATGTATGCATACTTGAATGCTTTTTCTCCTTTAATAGCTTATCTGTTGCAAAGAAACTTACGAGCTTTTCCGAACGAAATATTTTAGTTGTTTGTTGTAGTTGATGTCAATATTAAAAATGTTTCTCGATTTTATTTTAATTTCTCGAACATAGGGCTTATTTTATTTCGAAATTTGTTTGATTTCCCTCCTGATGAAGCTGCATTCTTTGAAGGGACAGAGAATACAAAATAAGAGTTTTATCAATTAAGAAAATATGCAACTTCCGTCAAATCTTCAAATGCTTTTTTGTAAGGTAGTTCAATTGTCGGGTACTTGGATCAGATTGGATGAAGCAAAGATCAAATTTTAAAATTTCCATTGACTGAAAAACGATTACAAAGTATCGATTCATGGTAAGACGCACCAAGCCAAAGGATAATGAAACAGACCTAGACTTAAATCAAATTTATGTCTTCTAATGCTTATAGGCAAGATCACCGCAACTTGTTTTTGCTAATTTTGTAAAAGTCAAACAAAACACTTTCATGTTGATGAATAATGTCATTTATTAAAATGACGGTATAAATGTGAACAATTTAACAAACAAGAAGGGGGATCAGATTCACAAGCTTTGCTTATCAGTTACGTAAAATATGATAATGTCTGATCCCCCAAAAATGACTAGAAAAAAGTATCTGTAAGACAAGACAATCAAAACATCATATTAAAAAGTTAGCAAATAGATGGCACATCAAAACAAAATAGGCCAACATCACAAGAAAAAGTTAGCAAAAAGATGGTACATCAAAGACGCAATCAAAACCTTAGAAGAAAAAGCTTGCAAAAAGATCGTAATCAAAACCAAATACATAGAAGCAGTAAAACAATTGAGTAAAAACTGTAATATAATATAAATTTTACAAGACATATTAATGATCATATTAAGGGATAGGAATGCTGGGGTGGAGGTGGGTCTTCAAAATAGACGTGCTTCATGTTAGCGGTGGTGAGCGCGCGAGTGTGAATGACTCGCTGAGCTGACCACGTGACCTTACACATTCTATTACAATTAATCCCTCAGGCAAGGCGTGGATTTGAGAATTTTCACAATTTATCAACGTAAATGTTTCTGGAAACCAACAAACAAATTGTCGCATTAAATACATAAATACAATTATTATTCTAATAATTGTTGTTTTTCAATCACCTGTAAAATGATTATTAATGATTAACTCTAAATTTGCCAAAAAAAAAAAAAAAAACTTTTGTAAAGCATTATTGACAAAATGTTTAAATATTTATTTGCTTGACTTTATAAAAAATATATTACATGGATATTTTGACGTAAGCCTATGATACATATTATTTTATTATAACAGTTACTTGATCCGAAGGGTCGTATCACGTCTCGTTGACAGGCGCGGATGATCAGATCAAACGAGACGTGAAGCGTCGAGTTTGATCTGATAATCCGCGCATGTCAACGAGACGTTATACGGCTCTTCGGATCTAGTTACAATGATTAATTTATTATATACCCCCTTATAACTAGATAAATATAGCAAAATAAAATTTAAGAAATCAATTGTATAATATTTATCCATAAAACAAAGCATAAAAATAAGGTACTCACAAGAAAAATAACGTCATGTTTTCGCGTGCAACAGTGTACTACGTCATCAGTTTCAGAGAGTGGTGATAAGTCGGATCACGACATCACGTGATTGCTTTAAATCTACAGTAAACCTGAGTGATACACTTTCGGTGTATACCGTTTATCAGATTTTTTCCGCGTCATGTTTTTTTTTCCGCGATTCAGTAAATTTACGCGAATTAAATTTTCACTATTTTGAAGTTCCTGTGATTATATTGTTAACAACTTTTAAGCAAATGAAGGAGTTGGATGTAAAATGTAAGCCATTAAGCTTATGTAAATTCATATGGGTGAGAAATAGATCGATCGACCTTCGACCACCTCGTCAATTTCGGAAGACTCGCCCAGCTGATTTCACACCTTTGTTGCGTAAAAACTCTCAAATTCCCAGATATAATTTTTGAAGATTTAAACAATTATAGAACATTTACTGTTCCAAACTGACTAGCAGCTCAGGTATAATTTAAATAGGTTCTCACAAGGAACGTGACCAATATATAATTATCCAATTAGTAAACAAACAATAGGGCTTATACCTATTACCGGTATCTTGCGCTTGTCCTCTGGTCCTGCTATTTTCTACCCTTTACGATATAAGCATGGAGAAATAAATCTACTACAAGAAGAAAACTTTGTATTAAATTTAAGCTGTTTTATTTTCCGCGATTCAGAACTCGTCGCGAACAAAGCGGAAATTGGACACACGCGGAAAAAACCTGATACACGGTAATAAATCATATTCTCGGAGCCAGGGATTTTCACATTACGACATGTCGGTTAATAGAATGCATGAATTATTGCAGTTTTATTTTTCAATGTGTCTCAGTTATTTAATTCTTAACATTTTACCCTAAAGTTAATTTTACGGGGCTTGAATTATTTTCATGCTTTTGAATTGAATGTTAATACTTTGAAGATTAAATGTTTGGAGAATGCCGAAATAAAAATGCATCGATAGTTGGAATATTGATTTTTATACTGAGAGGAAAAAGAAACGCAGGGAAGCATAAAATTCGAAAAAAAAAAACATTACGGAAAAGTACGAAAATTTTTCAGATAGTTACTATACACCAAAATTAGTGTTCAGAATTTCTAAACCGTAAAATTTATGACGTCACATAGGGAACACGCTAAAAAGTCCAAAAAACGTGCAATTTGATGACGACGAGTTTGTCAACAAATCTTGTCGCTCCGTTTGATGCACCTGAGGTATAAATATTGATTTCAATATTTAGAGACGATATGAATTTCTTGCAATCTTGGTACAGTCCACGAAAGTTCCATAGGGTCTGGTATTCGAATTGCATTATTAATTAAAAAGGCAACATCGGGTAACTAAGCAGTTTCTTGTAAATTTTCCTCAATAAAACTTGTTTACCAATGTCAGAGAGGGCCTAGAATGGTTTTCATTCAGTCGCGACGATGACGATAACGCGAAATAGACACATATTACGAGCGGGTTATTCGTATTGTCATCTCTTAAATCGCCACCTTACTTCTCCCAAAACCGCCTTTTATACTTTATACGATTATAATCATTATATTCACACGAAAAATGAAAGAGAACAATTCCTCAATTTGGTCTTTTGAGCCGGTCAACTTACTGTTGTGTTCCTCTCATTGGCACATGCGCGCGTCGTGTGACTAATTTTTTGGTGTGGTTATCCATGCCCAATATAGCCAGGGATTGAAAGATAAACACTCTGGTGAATTCCATGCAAAGGAGAAATAGGGCTCGTGACAGATGCGCGGGAGAGAAATTGAAGATAATGAGAGTTTTAGATTTTCACTTTTAGGGGGTATCATTATATATGAGCTTCAATAACTTATTAATATTAAACAAAATCAAATGAGGTTTCGGCTATATCTTTTTCATATATTTTTTTTTATCTTTTGCCAATCCTAGTACTTTGGTCTTTGTTTAGAAAGAATTAGATGATTTTGTTTATGGATAGTAACAAATGATTGAAGTCATTTCATGTCTATCAAAATTTGACGTAATATTTTTAGACTTTTAGTTATAATTGCAATTCAAATCATTTAGCACTCCATCTGTCTAAATCAAAATTATTTCCGTATGAAAATTTAACAAACATTGATTTTCTGGAATAATTTATAATAACGCACGTGTATATTGCAAAACAAAGAGGAAATGTCACGCAATATTCTTTTAATCTATATTTAATTTGTTCGTGTAATGTGCACGTTTAACTTGGCAAGTTAGGTTTGCTACACATGTAACTATGCATTTAATATTAAGTTGTTTTTATTACCATTGAATAATCTTTAATAAAAAAACATGTTTGTTTATCACATTTCATAAGTCGTAAGACTGTCCCAGATATATACTTTTTCTTTTTACGGATTTATTCAATTTGGCAACAATGAAGATCTCATTAGTTTTCATTACATTTTCTATATTAATATAACCTTACATTTTTAAAGGATATACACTGTATATACATGCATTACAATACACTACAGCGTACAAATTGATAATATACAGGAACCATTAAAAAGGGGGCGTATATAAACATTTTTTCTTACAATATCATAATTAGTCACCACAAAATATTAAGATCAATTTTCATTTAAACCTTTGATATTTTTTCATAATCGTCATTTAAACACAACGTAAAGATAAGAGTCATTATTTTCGCCATACACTTCTGGTTTATTCATTTCACTGTTGAGCGAGAGATTATCATCTGAAGAGATGAAAGAGCAGGGTTCTGCATAACTTTTATCACTATTGTGATCATCAAAATCTGTGTCTTCTACATGTAATATTGCATTCTTCTCCACTCTGGGTTTGGTAAAAGACTCATTTAGAGAGAGAATTTCTAGGGTTTCCGCGTTTGAAAATGATTCGTGAGTTTCCTTGTGTTTTTTGTCCTTCGTTTTTGTGTCTGACTTTCCCATTCCTGAAATTGGAGATAAGTAACAGCCCTTCATATCAGGAGATGGTTCCGATATCTTTTCTGTAGATTCCTTGTTTACTTCATCGGAAACATTAAGTATTCCCAAGTACTGGTCGATTTCTTGATATTCAGGTTCATTAGTTAGATAAGCATCTTCGACATCTCTATGATTATTTATATCTCCATAACCTGTAGATTTCTGGCTTGACATTCTTCCTCGTCTAGATTTTGATCGTAATTGAATTATTACAACTATGAAGAGTAAGACTATTACTATACCCATGAAGACCAGTAAATATGTATTCAGTTGTCCCTTTGAAGTGCTTGGAACATGTTTGACCGAAAAAGTAGTTGATAAAGTTGTGCTGCTAAAATTTGTACTCCGTGCAATTTTAAAACCAAAGAATAAAAGTCGTGTGGTATTTACTGATATATTAAATATCGTCGCCCGTGATTCAATGTTAGTGACAGTAACATCTGCAAAAAGATTTTTAATATATTAGGCCTATGTTGTTATGTTTAACTCTTAATTTTGTTGAAGGAAGCACATGCATAAATTCATAAAAATGTACTGGGAATACTGTGCATTTGCCTCTGTCATATACCTTAAAAATAAAAACATAATTTAGATATAACAATTAATTGATTTATTAATTTACCTCTTAAAAACATTTTTTGGCTGTTTAAAATAAAAAAACAACAAGAAATTGATATAAGATATCGTATATATGTACAAGAAGACGTTATAAATTTCACCTTTCTTTTTGAGGACACAGCCTCTCACGGGATCACATTCTTCAAAATTACACACTGAAGCACATTGCCCACCACAATATTCCCCGAATGTTCCAGGGGGACAAGGATCCTCACAAAAATCACCGTAGAATCCTGGTGCACAAGCTAGATAATTAAGTATTAAAAATACAGATAAATAACACAGTCAAACAGAAATGAGCAATATTTTTCCTAAACAATGTACTTTGATTTCTCTTGGAGAATAATTATTTATAAAGTGTAGAAAAATTAAGCATTTATCATTGTATTTATAACTTTGTAATTAGTTACTGAGAATTATTAAGGTATTTTTAAAATATTTCTTTTATTATTTTTTATGTGAAATATAGTACTCTTGAATCTCCCTGTCATAGCAATTAATGTTTTGGTAAGGAGTATATATAAGTCGACTTGCAAAATAGATACCGGAAGTATATATAATATTGTGCTATTTTATTGTATTATCGTATAAAAATCATATTCAAATCTATTGTCAGACATTTAAAATGTAAACATTTTTGAAGAGGGTATATTATTTGGAGAAAATTCCTCATTAGAAATAGTACATGCAACATTGAAGTCAAGTTCCACTTAATTACATGCATAATAATAATTAAAATAATGAACACTATAAACACAATCAAAGGCGGCTCCTGTTATCAGATTGTTCCACTACAGGTAAATATAGATTGTGTATGATATCTTTCTTTTTTTTTCTTCTGATAGTAGAGACATAAATATATGACTAAAGTGTTTCATTTGCGACGTACATGTTAATTTTATGTGCTATAAAGTATCAGATATATTAAAATGAACATATTTTATAACGGGTTTTCTTGGCGGGTGTAAGAAATGGTGTTTTGCCTGCTCAGTGGTCTGCCAATAATATTTGCGTTAATTGTTTTTAAGGAATCAGGGTTTTAGCTTGTTGCAGATCGACTATGAGTGGAGTTCTGACTATTTTAGCGATCAAACTTTTAGAGGACTATCATAAAAACGCCAAAATTAGCACCCCAAAAGAAATACCCGCCATACGGTATGAAAAATATATATGTAACACTGAAGAAATGAAAACATCAACAAAGCAAAGTAACAGAATTGCAATCTCAAAAACTATATTGGTTCATAAAAATAATTCCTGTCCTTTAAGAAAGGGAGACAAACAATCACTTATTATTTTAACTGAGAAGATGTACATGTTAAATTCAACTTCAATATTAATATTGAAATTCAACATCTGTTCTTCCAGACACGCAGAAGACATGCAATTAAATTTCAAAAATATATACAGTTTGACTACAAAATATCTTGAACTTACAACCGCATTCTCCTCTTTCGTTTCTGTAGTAATTTGCACAGCAAACAATAGATCCTGTGATTGAGCTAATGTAGAAAACGAAACATATAATACTGAACGATTACAATCTAAAACAATAATAGAAGTTATACAGTTTTTAAAATTATCTCTAAAAATAAGATTTTTCGGAAGGAAAAAAAAGTGAAATACCTGTTGTCAATACAAACATGTGGATCCATGTTGGTGAAAGATAAAAACAGGGCAAGAAATACCACAACTTTTAAACATAGACCATACAGAAACATTTTGAATCAATAAAATGCGTATTTTATGGTCCCAAAATACTATATAGCTTTCATAACAGGAAGTTAAACTTAATCTGAATAAAGATCTCTTACAATTATTTCCTAGAGATTATCCTTAAAATATTTGACGAATTTATAACACTGTGCCGGATAATTATGCCACTTCAAAAGTGGCATTTTGGCGCCCGCCAAATCCTCATTTCACATAAAAATCATGTATACCAAGTGGTAGTTCATCACTCGCAGAGTTCATAACTACCTTTGTTACAGGTAAATCTCACCTGTCAGGTGAGATAATCACCTTTGAACAAAAAATTCCCATGGGAAAAATAAAGTTCCTATAGGAAAAATAAAATTCCTGAGGGATATTATCAAAATCCTGCAGGATTTCTTAATTTCCTGTGGGATATTTAAGAAATCCTACAGGAAATTAAACTACTATGGGAGAATTTAATCTCCTGTAGGAATACAATTTCCTATAGGAGAGAGAAAAAATCCCTTAGGAAAAATATATCCCATAGGATTTCTTAAATTCCTGTAGGATTCTCTTTTTCAGTCAGAAACTCCTGTAGGAAATTTTTTCACTTTTGAATTATTTACTTCCTCCTAAGGGAGAAAAATATCCTGTAGGAAATTTTAAATTCCTATAGGATTTCTTCTTCTCCTATATGAATTTGATTCAACTGCATTTAGCTACAGCTAAAAATCAGCAATATACCTTATATTGTGTCAACATAGTCCAAAGAAAGAATCACTTTGAAAAAAATTTACAGATGAATATTGAACAGTGGGACGGACAACTTCGGAATGGACATTTTTCCGAACTTGTGCACCCTTTTCCTTTGAAGCTATCCTCTAGGAATTTTTTTAAATGGCGGGATTTTTCTACCTAAACGAATTTCTGAAATAAAAAAATGCAACATTTTCTGCTAGTTTTTGAGATATTTAGTGTCGAAAATAAAAACCCCATGGGGAAACATGTACATAAAATTACCCCATGAAAAAAACCACAAAAACCCAGTGGGGTTTAAAATTCTCCCCATGGATCCACCACTTACAAGTTTAGATCTTTGTCACACATGACATATATGAGCTTAATGTTTAAACTCAATTATTAATATCATTAACAAAATAAAATAAATATCCACTCCCCATGGATCCGCCACTTATAACTGTAGATCTTGATCACACATAATATGTAAGCTTAATGTTGAAATCAATTACCCATAATCATTTATATCCTTTGATCCACAACAAAAACTTAAACAAAATAAAATTAATATACACTCCCCATGGACCCACCACTAAAAAGTTTGATCTCGATCACACATGACAATTATGAGCCTAATGTTTGAACTCAATATGACCCATAATCATTAATATTCTTTGATCCACCACAATTTAAACAAAATAAAATTAATATCCACTCCCCATGGATCCACCACTTATAAGTTTATATCTTGATCACATATGACATATAAGCTTAATGTTGAAATCAATTAGCCATAATGATTTACAGTATATTCTTTGATCCACAACAAATATTTAAACAAAATAAGATTAATATCCACTCCCCATAGATCCACCACTTATAAGTTTAGATCTTGATCACACATGACATATAAGCTTAATGTTTGAAATCAATTAGCCATAATCATTAATATCCTTTTACCCACAACAAATATTTAAAATTAATATCCATTCGAAGCTCCCCTTGGATCAACCACAACTATTATATATAACATTAATTAATATCCACTCCCCCCTTGGACCCACCACTTTAAAATTAAGATCATGATCACACATGACATATAAGCTAAATGTCTGAAATAAATTAACCATAATCATTGATCATTACTATTCTTTGATCCTGCATCCACCACAAATATTTAAAAAAGATTAATATCCACCCCCTTGGATCCACCACTTATAAGTTTAGATTTTGATCACATATACAAATATAAGTTAAATGTTTTAAATCAATTAACCATAATCATCACATAATCATTATTGATTCCTTTGACACATTACAAAAATCTAAAAATATATCTATCCACGCCCCTTGAATCCACCACAACTATCAAAGCATTTATCAGTAAAATATACATGCCTTTGATCCACCACTTTATATCACACAAAGAAAAATTACCTAAATGTTTGAAATAAATTTGCAATAATCATTAGAATGAATTAGAATAAAAACAGGTACAATGAACATGATGAAATAAGACAACATTTTTATAAATACTACGGTACTTTATTTACTACTAGTAAGTTTTTGAAATTTATCACCATGATCACATCCACCAGCACGACTATTAAAACTACATTGGATAACAAATCAATTAAGGTTTTACATAAATTATGTTCATTATAATTAGTATTAGAATTTATATTTATACATTTATATATGAAAGTCATTTTTGTGTAGACTCACTCTTAAACTCCAGGGAAGAACCTAATAAAGTTCAAAAAGTATATAACAAAACAAAATATGTTGGGTATGACCTTATAAGAAAACTGAATTTTCATCCTGCATGGTGCAGTCAGGCGATATTGATCAATATCGCTTTTTCATTGAAATAGATCTACATGCATGTCAAACTTGATTTTTTTTCTTATGAATTCACTTACACCATATACAACGGGTAACGCGGGGGAGTCGCTTAAAAGTATGGGGGAGTCGTTTTCAAAGTATGGGGGAGTAGATTTTCACCGCTTCGGAGTCGGAAGAGATATGGGTCACGTCTTTTTTCGTTATTTATAAGATGTTTTTACAAAAAACAAATATCCCACGGAAGATGGCAATAGTTAAGCTTTATTTTGGTCATTTGTCCGGCTGTCATATACGTCTAGTTTTCTCAAACACTTCGAAACTATTTGACAGTTTTCATATTTACGTTGATAGGATGGTAAAAACATGTATGATTTGTACAATCTACGGCTTGCGTAGGGATTCTCACAGTTAAAACAGCGAGAGAAAACGTTTATCTTTTAAATGCAACAACTTAAACTTGACTAGACTTTATAAAAACTGATAATTAAGACTTTTTCTCCTCAGACAGTAACGGTTACGTAGGGGGGAGTCGTTTATGGGAAAGCACATCGCAGGGGGAGTCGCAAAATAAGTCAAATGCATACTTGGTGTTGTTTTCATCTCTTTTATACTCTTTTATAAAATTTCATCATGATAATATCGTAATAAACAGTAAAGTGTATAACAAAACATTGATCCAATGTGTTCTTTAGATCTGGCAAAATGTGTTTCGTCGACCCCTCGAACAAAACTATTTGCCTTCGGCCAAACAGTCTCCTGCAAACAGTTTGGTTCTTGAGTCCGACAAAATGCATTTTGCCCTCGAACCCTGTCTATGAATGTTACTGGTTTGGTTGCCTCAGACTGATTCTTGTACAACAATTCACTATGCTATGTGTTCACGAAACTGCGAAAGGGGAGGGGTAAAGGGGGTATCATATTCTGAGGAACTGTATATAGCTGGGGCAAGGAAAGAGAGGGTACCATGATAATGAAATGTATACAGAGAAGAAATGTTTTCGTATTTCCTCTTTTAAAAGTTTGTGATTAATTATTTTTACATTGGCACTTCTCATTTTATTTCTCATACATGTAGACATACATTTCCAGCGTATTAGGTAATATGCAATTCAGTCCCTTCTTCAGTATTCATCTTGTATTTATACCTATGTGTATTAACCTCAGATATCCAAAATATTCTCAATTTGACATACTTATTCGTTTGTGTCTGAAGATGTGTTAATTTATATGATAAATAAATAATAAAAAAAATAATTATGAATGATATCTGTGAACCTAATCGAGAGAATATACCAGTTAAATTTAACCCCCTTCCCAAAAAAAAATGTCAAGTGGCGCGTGCAGACGCATCAGAGATTTGCTTTTTTCTAATTAAAAAAAATGGTTGATATTATCAAGAAATTTTCCAAATTATAAATCGGGTTGTTCTTTTTTATGGAAAGGCTTTCATTGTCGGAAGTTAGGGTTCCTGAATTCGTGGATTGAATTTTTGTGATATACATGTACGAAAATTACATATTGAGGGGAAGGTCCTGTCCCCAAGCACATGTGCTCTGATGATATATAATCCAATTGTTCATGTAATCTATATTGCTGATTTTTTTCTAGAACTGATAAAGCCACAGAAAAAATCTCTTTTCGTAACTTCAAATTATAAAGTAAAAAACCAAACAAAGATTTATAGATATCTACGAGTAAATAAACATAGGTAATCAGAGATTACAGAGCTCACCTCAACGAATGTTGTCTTTAAGTAAGGCCAAGTCACACAATTAACCAACAAAAAGTGTACATTCCAAAAATGAAAATATTTAAGAAAAGTTTGATCTGATACTTTGAAATAGACCTACATTAAAAATTTAAACTAGTTCTTCTTCATGAAAATGTAATTAAATCCAGCATCTGAAGGAAATTTGAGAGTTTTCATCTCTTGATGCAACATTTGTGCAAGTTTGGTTTATACAATGTTATATAAGCCTTATAGTTTTTTTGGTAATAGACCTGCACTCATAACTTTTACCTGGTCTATTTTCTGAAAAATGTATGTTGAATTCAGCATCCCAAGCAAGTCCATTAATGTGCATCCTAAGATGTATCATCCATGCAAGTTTGCTCATTATAGGGCTCATAGTTAATTGGAAATGAAACATCATCAAAAACTAACATTTTCACTCATTCACACAATGTAGGTCAGATTCAGCATCCGAAGCAAGCCCGGTAGTATGCATCCTTAGATGTATCATCCTTGCAAGATTGGTTATTAAAGAACTCATACATGTAGTTACTTGGAAATGAATCATGCACCAAAAACTTTAACCTGTTCACTCAACCGGAAAATGTAGGTCAGATTCAGCATCCGAAGCAAGCCCGATAGTAT